AAATGCCTCTACAAGCCCTCAATAATTCTCATGTGTGTTTTATTTTAAGAACTATTTTTTCCAAAAACTAATTACATTATCAAACTCTTAATAGTATTTGAGTATTTTATGAACCTCAAATACTTTCAGAAGTATTGTGGTGAGATTTTTCCCAAGAAGAGAAGATTTTAGCAAGTCAGGGATCACAGTGTTTATCCTGACAAATTTAGTAGCACAATACAAAGTCCGTAATCTGGACTCGTCGGGACTTCGGCGATTCCAGATTAGGGTTTTTTCCAGATTATAGATCATCAATTTAAATCTGGTAAGATGGCATACAGAAATTAAACAGTGAATATGATATTGATTTGTTCTAAAAAATGTATTTGCATATTTGTCTATATTGATCAGTTGACTTATTTCTCTAAAATCATCTAATAATGAAGTGAGTATAAGTTTAATTAATTATCAAATTTATTTTTATTATTTAAAGTTAAAAATAATTTAAAATTTTTATAGACTGCTAACAGATTTTTAAGGTAATTTCTTTAATTTCATTAGTTTTCAAAACTGTCACTTTTTGTCATGAAATTTAGAATCACTGTATTACTGGGCAAATCATTAAATAACCTTATTTTACTTGCTTATTATAATTGCATATAACATATAATTATTAATTAGATTGAAAGTATGAAATAAATTATTCAGCTTTAGATCTGCTACCTGTTAGTAACTACCTGATCGATTGCATATTTAGTTCCTTGCTGTGAGATATATCTGTCAATTATTAAGAACTAAGTGTTTTATTATTTGTGCTTTTATGGTTGGCTAGGGACCCCACCCTAGCCAACCAAAGGATAACCTTGAACTCTGTAATTTTGTCCATATTCCTTAGAACTTTAAGGGATCTTAATAAAAGCAATGTTCTTACTATAGGTTAGTTTGCATCTTTAAAAAATAAGAAGTTTCAGTCCAAAGTTTTAAATTTATACTATATACTACTGATTTTCTCACAACTATGCGTGCATTGCATCTAATTAGTAAATGTTAGTAAGATGCTTAGGAATGTTGATGAAGTATACTTTTCATCTTAAATTTTGCTAGAAAAAATTTCAGAATAAAAGAGTACTTTTTTTATTATTTGCACTCTTCAATGAAAAGTCACGAAAAAGTATTAATGAGGCAAAGCAGCATTTCACCAAAAAGTATGTACCGTATATATATGTTCTGGCTGGTATGCAATGCTAAAGTTGTACATTGTCAAGTTTGTGCAATCCTGTGATTTATTTATTTATTTATTTATTTTTTTATTTTATTTATTTTTTTTTTAAGTAAAAACAAATTGCTGTGTACATGGAGTCTGAAAAAGAAGGATTTCTCAAAAAAGATAAAAGCTTTATTACTAATATTTCTTGACTTTTTCATTTTATTTATTCACTACTCTTCTATGGAATTCTTAAATGCTATGAGTTAGAAAATGGCATTAACTTAATAAGAAATTATCTTGGCCTTTCATGCATTAACGTGGTAAGAAATTAGTTGCTAATGAATTTTCAAATGTTCTCCAAAGTCGCCAGCCTCATCTGGGATTATGGGACACTCTCAATGGAACGGAAACTTAGTACCATCTGTTTAACACACAAAAAGGGAGATGTGCTTGACTGTAGTAATTATACTGGAATATCTTATACAGTACAAAGTCTGTAACCCAGACTCGTTGGGACTTCAGCGATTCTGGATTAGGGGTTTTTCAGAATTATAGATCATCAATTTAAATCTGGTAAGATGGCATGCAGAAATTATACAATTAAAAATATGAAACCGTAATTTAAGAAATATAGAGCAATTATGATCTAAAGGGTATCAAATTAAAAAAAAAGCTTAATATTTATTTTTTGATTACTTTATTAAACATTTCTTTCAATACGTGCATGCGTAATGTATGCGCATTCTCTATGTGCGTGCGTAAAGTTTGTTGTTTTGAGGTCCGGATGATAGATCATTCCAGATAATGAACGTTCGGATTATGAACTTTGTACTGTATATATATATATATATATGAATATCCTATATACACTGGTGAAATAAATTAAGAAAATTTGCATATTTTATCGAATTGCATGAAAATAACTGAAGGAAAAACCACTGTTTCTAGATAAAAATACAAATCTTGTATGGTAAATACGTAAGAGTACACAGGTGTTTAGGCGGAGCCAGCTGAAAAACAGACTTTACAAGCGTGTGGAGGATAAGACGAATTGCGTTTGCTTGCACACCTCGGTAAATTTCTTGGTGTTATCTTGCAGCAATTGGTTAAATTCACATTGGAACATTAAAAATGAGTAACCACCAATGTTTAGATGATGGAATGAGGTGGTGAATTGTGGGGAGGCTAGAGGCAGGCTAATCGCAAGTCCAGATATGCAGAGAGTTTAATTTAATGTCCAACGTCTTCTGTAACATATGAAAATAGTTCCAGGATACTGGATCCATCGAGAGAAAGCCTGGACAAGGTCGTCCAAGAGCCAAGACGGGCCAGAGAAGATCACTATTTGTCCATTTTAGCGAGGCCTAACAGAGGGGCTATAGCTTCTCAGCTCTCTCGGGACCTGTATGCAGCCACTTGAGATCAATACTGTAAAGTATGTACCGTATATATATGTGTAAAGTATGTACCGTATATCTTTGGAGCGAGACGGGGTAATGCACTGGGGTGCTACCTGTTTAATAGTGCACTTGAAAAATTTATTGGAGATTCTGGGATCAGTACTAGAGGAAATAATCTTAATAAGACTATTAAATTGCTGTTTTATGCAGATGATATTTGCATTGTTGCCTCTACTGTTTCTGCTCTTAAACAGACATTCATGGCATTGGGAAAAAGTGCAAAAAGATTGAACCTTTCTGTTAATGAAAATAAAACAAAATATATGCCTTGTTTAAAGTCTGACTTAGTCATTTAGAAATTCGTATCTATAGATTTGAAAAAGTCTACAGTTTCACTTATCTGGGAGCAGAGATGAACTGTAAGAGTAATATAATTTCTGAAATACTTAAAAGAGTATCTGCTGCAAATAGATGTTCTCATGTCCTGAAGAGCTATTTAAAATCCAGCTTTCTCAAGTTTACTTCTATGCAAGAGTTTTATAAGATCTGTCCTGACCTATGCATCGAAAACTTGGGTGCTGACTTGCACTGATTCCGTTGCTTACTGGTGGGTCCATGTAGATGAATTGAGGAGAAGATCTAATTTAGAGCTATACAAGATCTACAGGCAACCCAATGTAGAAAAATGTTTCAGAGATTTAAATGGGCTGGTCAACTGGCCAAATGCATGAAGATCTATGTTGTAAGAAAATCTTTCTAGCAAAGCCCATGGGAACCAGATCTCGGAATAGACTTCCAATAAGAAAGGTTAAAAACTGCAAAACAGTTGCCAAAAACAGATACCTGGAGAAGACTTCTGAAGAAGGCCAGGACCCACCCTGAACTACCGAGCCACTGAAGAAGAAGAAGAATGTTTACCTTGTAAACATCCTTATATTTAAAAAATATATATATGAAAAGCCCTATAGAACAAATTACAACAAATTAAGTAACAATTTAATAAATTTCTGCAAAAATTCCCTCTGGAAATTTTGCAGAAATAGTATAAAATAATAGGGGGAAAAAAATGTATTCTTTGTGAAGTTTTGTTACATTGTATTTCAGGTTGTTCCATTAAAAATAATTTTTATGAATAAATTTACTACATATTAAAAATAAAGAGGTAAAATAGTAATAATAATAAAAGAATTATAGTCACTTTGTTTAAGGTAGTGGACATTTTTTTCTTCAATTCCTCTATGCTAAGCTTTGGCTTTGATTAGCAAACAAATTCAATAATATGTATGTTTAAATTAACTTGAACTATGAATAAATCAGTTTCTTATTTTTCCAAGAGGTGCTGGTGAGGTTGTTTCAAATGTATTATTTTCAAGGACACTTATAATTACTCATTTTGTAAGCAACATCAGCAAGTCTTAAACTGATATTCTTCGTTTAGCAGTCTTTCACTTCATTTTAAAAGAAGTGCGGCAAATTCTAATTTTTTGGCAAGTAAGGAAATTATAAATCATGTTCTATTAGCTGAACATATATATCCCTTATTTTGCATTAAGAGCTTTTAACCACAAAGTGGATGGCTGCACCTTGAAAAATCTGTCTATTAAAGTAATTTTTCCTAGGGCTGAGCTGTTGAGTAATGACTGATGTGCTATTTTTGAATTATGTAAATAAAAATAAAGACTATAAAGAGTAATAAGGAAGTATCAATATCAGTTTTTTTTTTTTTTTTTTTTTTTTTTTTTTTCTCCTTGGATTGAAAATCTAACATTACTATATGATGCGCTTCTTTTTGAGTGCATGGTTCCCCAAAGAAAAGAAAAAATTCTGGTGAAATTACCATTCCAAAATTTAACTTTTCTAAAAATTCATTCATTATTATTCCAGACTTGAATAATTTTTTAATACGTATATGTATGAATCATTACTTTAAAATATTTTAATTTCAAATAAATTTTCAGATCAATTTGAGCACTATTCTGAATTTTCATTGTATGTTTATTATAATACTGAGCTGAAAAAATATTACTTAGAAATTCCGTTTTAGTACAAAAATAACTGAATTTTTAAAAAATGCAAACTTTCTTTGGAGAAAACTGAGTTCAGGTCTTCTACATCTTTTTCTCTAGATATAAACACCTGCTTTAGTGAGTCTCAGCACTTTTATTTTATTTAAATGTCAACATATGATCAATGATTCATTAGCTAATTAGTATAATTGCTTTTCATAGCATTTCAGTAATCTTATTTAAGCCCAATGCATTTCATTTTTAGCTAATCAGAAGTGATTAAACAATCTTGATAAGAAAATTTCTGCTATGATTTCACATCATCACTGTCTTTTATGTGATTTTTATAAAAAATATATAATTTAAAAATCTCTGATTTCATTTTTATCTGTGTCACTTTTTTTTCAGATGCAACAGAGATACCCAAACCAGTGATAACTCTTATAAATGTTGATAATAGCAGCAGTGAAGAATCTCAGCTTTCTACAAAGAAATTTTTATACCATTTGTTTAGTATTGACTGTTCATCATCATCTAATTCTGTTTTTTTATTTGGTTATCAGTCTGGCAAAGTTTTATGGTCTGTATGTTCATGGTCTTCTCATGAACAAAAATTTAAGACTATTACTGAATTACAAATTTTATGTGACATGAAACAGCCTGTCATAGCTATTCATTTCTTTGAGAAATTAGGAGAGATAAAAGGTAATTTACTTGGCATTCTTTTTTTCATGCACAAAAATACATTAATTTCCAAGCGAGTTGCTTACAGAATTTTTTTTTTTTAGGTAGTTGCAGTCTGCTACTTGTTGGGGCACTAGGAAAAATAGTTATCATCACTACTGAAAATGTGTTCAGCAATTCGCATGCATATGAAGGCCAAGCTTTACAATATTGGACTGTAACTTTGTATTTACATTCTCCTGTTCAGCACCATATAATACTGAATGACTGTATACTTCATTCTTCAGAAAAAGGACATTTGTGGGTTACTGTATTTTCAGAAGAAAGAAAAACTTCAAAAGGTGTGACAGAGAATAATTTAAAGATCATTTCTAAAGCTGCAGATTTATATGGAATCATACAAGTTACTATAATAAATAAGCATGCAGGTGAGTTGTGCAAAGGTTCTAAAATGATTTGTGAAAAATATACATTTGAGATGAAATCTGTTGCATGAATATATGCGTATACAGAGTGTTAAAGTCATTGAACACTGGTAGATTAACACAAATTCGACTCCAGGTGAACAGGCTGAGTGCATGTGCATTTTTATTATTTTTCCTATGCATAACATGAATACCAGCCACTTTACCTTAGAATTTCCTTCACAAAAGCATCCCAAGCCGTAGATAGGTATTCTTCACATGCTTTGCCATAATTAAAATGAGTCAAGCTCCTCTTCAAAACCAAAACTAAAATTTTTGCTTTGGCAAAATATTCTGTATGGAAAAATGAAGTATTAAAAATAATAATAAAAAAGGTTGTTAAATTCTTCTATTTTTATTATTAATTTTGTTATTGCTTAAAATGTAATGAATTAATAGTAAATCTATTTGAAGTGCCCAGCAGATTGACAGCTGTAATGTAATTAAGACACAATAACACGCCGAATAAGTACTAATTCAGAAGTCAAACAACAAAAATCAGCGTTATATTTTCAAAATTTTCGCAGGACTAGTTTTGATGGTTTTTATCGAACCACCATTCTCAGCTGCAAATGAGCAAGATAGGAAATAATGACTAGATAAGAAAGCCTGGACATGAATAAGCAAGTGGCACCCTATGTTGATGAAACCAGAACTAAAACATAATTTCTTTATAATAAAGAAATTATGTTTTAGTTCATAACAACATAATTTCTTAACATAATTTCTTTATTATTATAAAGAAATTATATTTTAGTTCTGGTTTCATCAACAGATGGTGCCACATGCTTATTTCCTGTCCAGGCTTTCTTATCTAGTCATTATTTCCTATCTTGCTCATTTGCCGTTTTGCAGCTGAGGATGGTGGTTCGGTAAAAACCATCAAAACTAGTCCTGCAAAAATTTTGAAAATATAACGCTGATTTTTGTTTGACTTCTGAGTTAGCTGTAATGTAATTTAAGATTAATAGTTCTTGTATTACACATAATGCACTTTCATTAACAGTAATAAGAATAATTGTATATAATTTTATGAATTATTTATAGATAAAAAATTATTCAGGAAGTATATATACCGTAATTTCCGGAAGAAAGGCCGCATCAGAATAAACGCCGCACTTGAGAAAAATGGCGGGAAAAAAATTAAAATTACACAGAAATGCCGCAATAGATTAAATTGCGCGTGACATCGTCATGGGCCGTATAGATGCAAAAACTCAACCTAAGTCCTGATATATGACATACCAGTTAAGAAAAATGCATGAAATGAAACCATAACTCAAAAATAAATTAAAGGTAAGAAATGTATAGCTTCTGTGCCGTTTAGAGACATTTTCAAAAATTTTCCACTCCCTAATTAAAAACTATCCAACAAGTACTTGTACCCTAACTGATGGGATCTGTATTTGGCAGAATGCCAAGAAAAATCCATTCATGCTGAAGGGGAAATATGTCAGAGTTCGTTATTGCGAGGCAGGTGGAGTCATGTCCGCCTTTGAAAAAAATTGCAGAAAAGGCAGGGGTGGAAAGAGGATGGGTCCTGGAAGATTCATCGAATGGCAGAAGAGAGAGACTATTCAAACTGATGAGAATGTTGATTTGAAAGGGGGAAGAATGTTATTGTTCTGAGATCTCGTTTAGGGTGAATAAGGCATGTAGGTCCGTTCAAGGGAAGGAACGTAAACAAAATAACGTTCGCAAAAAGCAACTGAGTGGTCTTTTGTGTGGGAACAGCACCAGTCTATGCACAATGACAAGGCCATCCGAACTATGTACAATGACCATCATAGGAAATATTTTATTTTTAGTGCACCTAAACGCCGCATGAGTAGAAACGCCGCACCCGCTGAAAATTTAAGTTTTAAACACGTAAACGCCGCGGTGTTTCTTCCGGAAATTACGGAGCTTTTTTTAATTTTGTATGCAATTTAAAAATGTGTGCTCGTTGGGTTGAGTTTTAAACATTTACACTTTTTTTCTTTCTGTTTATTTATTTATTTTATTTCAAGAGTACACAAAAATGTACAGAAAGTAACTTTTATAAACATAAGCTGTTGAAAGATATCGTATTTGACGGCATATAAGATGCTTTTTTTTCCTAAATTTGGTCTAAAAAAGTTACCCGCGTCTTATATGTAAAGGACATGGGTTAACTTTCAATACTGAATTCTATTTTTAGCCCGGATAAAGGTCTAGACACACATAACGTTTTCTACATCTGCCATAATTATTTTGCGCATGCGTGAAATATCTGTTGGCAAAAAGCACCAAAGCTCGAAGCTGATGTCGAAGTTCGAACAGGTCCGATGGTCCCATTACGTCTATGGAGCCTTTCCTTCTTTACATAGACTTTCTTTGACTCAGCCGACACACGTGTCGATGCTACTCTGTATAAAGGTATCGGTGCTTAAAACTATTTGTTTTAAAAAAATACCCTGGAAAATATGACTACAGGAAACGAGATTACGCTATACAATTCAGTATAAACTAGAAGTGTTAAACTATGCCAAAGTGCATGAAAACAGAGAAGCAGCAAGGCATGTCGATTCACCACTTACCAAAAAAATAATACGTACTTGGCGACTTCAGGAAGATCAACTGAAGACTGCTAAAAAACAAAAATATAACCTTCGATGCGCAGCTTCATTTTGCCTGAACTTGAAAATGCCGTAAAAACGTGGGTGATAGATAAGAGGAAATCTGGGATAAGTGTTTAAACCAAAATGATAATCAATGAGGCCAAAGGATTTGCAGAAAAACATGAGAATCAGAACTTTTCAGGGTCTGAGTGCTGGTGCTACAGGTTCATGAAAAGGCAAGGCTTATCAGTGCGCACAAAAACAACTATTGCACAGAAAATGCCAGCAGATTATGAAGAAAAAATACTAGCATTTCATAGGTTTGTTATAAATGCACGCAAGAAAACTTCTTTTGAGCTCAGTCAAATAGGAAATATGGATGAAATTCCACTCACATCTGATGTACCATCCAACAAGACTGTTAAAGGGTCTAAATCAATAATCATAAAAACCACAGGTCATGAAAAAACCCGATATACGGCACAAAACTACCGCCAGTTTTTCATATATAAAAGAAAACCTCATCCGAAAGAAAAACTTCCAACGGGCGCAATTGTTAATGTTCATCCGAAAGGCTGGATGGACGAAGATGGAATGAAACTGTGGTTACAGAACGTATGGGCGAGGCGACCTGGTGGACTCTTAAGAAAACCCTCTCTTTTGGTTTTGGATCAGTTTAGCGCCCATAGAACTGAAACCATAAAGAATAAAGCGAGAGAATTCAAAACCCAGATAGCTGTCATTCCTGGTGGACCGACTAGCTAATTGCAGCCTTTCAATGTATCGGTGAATAAGCCATTTAATGAAAAGGTGCGAGAACGATGGAACAAGTGGATAGAAGAGCCATATCACACCCTCAGGTAGAATGAAGCGGCCCTCTATTTCACAAGTGTGCGAGTGAGTAAAAAGATCTTGGGACGATGTAAAGGTTGAAGTAATTGTTAAGTCCTTTAAGAAGTGCGGAATCAGTAATGCTCTTGACGGAACAGAAGACGACGCATTATTCGAAGAAGCTGATACTAGCGATGACGGAAACAGTAGTGATGACGATATTCTCATTTTCTGATGATGATTATGATGATAGTGAAAAGGATTTTTATGGTTTTGAAAGTGATTAAAGTCTAATTTCATGAGAGGCAACGATTTCCTTGAATCTGTGTTTTTTGTTGTTTCTGCTTTATTTTGTATTATGTTTTATTGCTTGCCGTTCATTCATTTATTCAATATTGAAATTTATATATCATGTTCAAAATAGCTTGCCATTTCTTAATTTTCCTTAATAAAAATATGTTTGTAATTGCACTCAATGATTGTTTATTTGGCTTTTACAAAACGTGAGAACTAAAAGAAACCACATTTTAAGTTATTGTGGTCGCACGGACTATTGAAACTTTTTTTCCTTGTGTGTGGCCTTCTAAATAAGGGTGCGTCTTATATGCCATCAAATACGGTAATTACTTTGGCATTAAACCCCTACTGTAAAGAATAGAGATGTTCTATCCATGGGCTCTTGTAATGTAGTAATCCAATCCAGCTAGCTGTTGAAAGACTCAAATTCAGTTCCCAGGATTTCAGTTGATAATGACTATAGTGTTATTATAGTTATACATGCCATTTTATATTAAAATGAGAGCGCGTGCTATTTTAGATCTAAATTAGGATTTCAAATATTAATTGCCTTCAGAATTTGTGTAAACATTTTATATGTTTGATAAAATATTTATATAATTTTATTTTAGGTCTCATTCTTGTAGTAACTGCGGCAGGAAATTTGTATTTAGCCCAGTATATAAAATCAGTAAACACTTATAATGCTTCTGTAGCCTTACCATCACTTATGAATGAAGGCTTGCATCAGAGTGCAGTCATGCAGCATCTGCTAACAATTAAGTACCAACAAGGCAAATTTTTTTCTGCTTTATGCACATTTGCAGCACTAAAATTTAAAAGTAAGTACTTACCTTACTTTTTTTTTTAATGTAAATCTATTGAATTAAATTTTAAGTTTGGAATAATAACTTGACTTTTTCTGACTTGTTCTTTTGTCAGTGATCAACTTTGCTTCTGCTTATTTTCTGTATTAAAAAAAAAAAAAAAAAAAAAAAAAAAAAAGAGAGAGAGAGAGAGAGACTGCGTATGCTAAATTGTGTTTAACTATGTTAATTTAATATTTATACAATGTGTGTCAATCAATAATCCTTGAGATGGAATATTCTCAATATCAATGACTCACCACTAACATATTTTCTTGTAAAATAGCGAAAATTCAACTAGCAACAAAATATTTCTTTAATTTATTAGAATATTTGATATACTGTGGAGCTTAGTAACATTCAGGTGATTTTTAAGTAAAACACAAATTATACTAGTTAACTTAATCCATCAAAAGATATTTGAAGTCACTGCTTAAGCAGAGGTTTACTTCAATTTTCATTATTTTTGCCTACAACATATTGAAATCATTTCAGGATAAAAACATATATTTCATGTGTTCTTTCCTGTCTAACATAAAGTTCATTTTTTAGGATTATGAGCTTGAGTAACTCATTGTTGTTCATGCCTATATCTTTTTCATGAATACATTGGAAAATATTCTGAAAGTTTATAGCAGCTGAGGTGACTTGCAAAAAAGCCATATAGTTTATAAACAAACCCCTTTTCCCAAAAAATGAAAAAATGGTAGATATATTTATAAATGCAAAATATATGTGCATATATTTGTGTATTTTACCATATATCATGAAACAAACAAATCTGTTGTAAAAAGTTAGATTTTGTTAAGGTATAGGCTCATAAACAGCACAGATTTCACATTACACTACTGACAATCACAGAAATGTAAAAATAAATTACCATATATGCTGATGTATAACACACACCTACAATTTCAAACTACCTATTTTAATTTTTAGATATATTTGCCTTAAAATGTGCAACCTTTTCTTTATGAAGAAATGTGAAAGGTACATGTACAATGCTCTCATCTTTTGAAGATACGAATATTTTTCACAGGCTTTTGAACAATGGTACACTGAATTGACAAGTGATAAGGAGAACAAGTGTGTGTGGGGAGAAATGCTTGAGGGAGTAAATAATTCTGCAAAGAGAGTGGGTTGTATTCAATGTAGGTATGCACAAGAATGTTATTCTAGAGCTTTGAAAAGGGGGACATAATTTGGCGTAAGAATGCTGTTCCAACATAAATGAATTTGTGGAATGTTTTCTCTTTTTGTAATCATTTGAAGCCAAGATTTTGAATTGAACATCAAAGGTTTTATTTGATATTGAATGCTTTAGTATTTCCTTTAGTTGAAATAAAGTTAATCTAGTGTTTAGTAGTATATATGGCTCCAGCCACATGAAAGTAGTGCTGGTGTAAATGCAAAGTCAATCAATTTGCAAAAGAAAAGGGAAATCGTGCTGCAACATGGATGTTTGGTGTCGGTAAGAGCTCCATATGTCAGTGGAAGAAATATGAAATCACAATAATTAATGTATCAAAGAATAAATGTGCTTTGCGTAAGAATTAACAAAATGTTGTATCCTACAAAAATGTATTGCGAACTGGATCCTAGAAAATAGCCAGAATGGATTAATCATTATCAGAAACATTGTATATTTTTTGTAACAGCCTTAAATTGGAGAAAAAAGTTCAAATGAAAGTGAAAAATTTAAAGTAACTTTGAGTTGATGTAGTCGATTTATATTGCAGAATAATTTAATTCTACGAGAAAAAGCAGAAATTTCACAAAGGCTTCAGAAAGATTTGGACGACAAACTGATAATTTTCCAGAAATATGTTGCTGATCTATGAAGGAAAGAAGTTATTTACTGTCACATATTGAAAATATGGATGACACTCACGTAGTGTTTGATATAATATGCAATAAAACAATTAATATGAAAAGATCAAAAATGTTTTACATGAAACAACAGGTCATAAAAAATCTCAACTCACCATAGTGCTACCCTGCTTAGCGGATGGTACAAAATTAAAACCCATTGTTATGTCTATAAAAAAGACAATGTCAAAATGTGATTTCCCAAATGGGTGTTTTGTTCATTTTCATGGAAAATGATTGATGAACGAAAACGGTAGAAATTGTGGATAAGAAATGTTTGGCAAAAGCTTCCTGTTCCCTTAAAAATTCAGAAAGTCTTTTCGTTTCAGACATTTTCATATCCCATGTAATGGATAATACAAATAAATTGTTGAAGAATGTAATGTAGACACGGTAGTTATTCCAGTTTGATTAATGCCATTAGGTCAGCCTTTAAATGTGTGCATCAATAAACCATTTAAAGAAAATTTAAAAACAAGAGTGGAATACGTGGCTGTTAGAAGCTAAAAAAACATTTACAAAAGGAGGCCAAATGCATCATGCCAATCTGAATATAGTGTGTGAGTGGACAATAAAAGCATGGAATGAAATTAAACCCAATTTTAAAAATATAGTATATTTAACAGTCTAGATAAAATGGAAGAAGATTATTTATTTATGGATCTGAGTAACAGTGATGGTGAAGATGAAATAGGATTCGATGATGTGCATGAAGATATCACAAAAGACGAATATGATGAACTTTTCATGCTAGTTGATAATGAAAATTTTTAAGATCATAATGTATGTCATTTCTTTTAAATAAACAGCATTTAAGTACATTTTAGATATTTAATTTTTATATGCTCATCTTGTCCTTAAAATTTCATTTTATATCCAGTGCATGACATTCAACCATAAATTTTGATCTTATTTTTTTTCGTATTAAAAGTGTGCATTATATCCCGTAATATACGGTATATCTCTATAAAATTAACTGCATTATATAAAATAGATCAGAGAATTAAATGGGCAGTACACCTGTGCAGAATGGATGAAAATCGAGTAACTAAAAGATCTTCTCGGCCAGACCATTTGGCACCCAAAAAAAGGAGAGACCTAAACTTAGGTGGCTTGACTGTTTGGAAACAGACTTAAGAATTTTAAAAATAACCAATTGGGTGTCCATGGCCAGGGATAGAAGAGCTTGGAATTCAATTCTGAGGGAAGCGAGGGCCCATCCTATCTGGCCATTGAAGAAGAAGAAGATATAAAATAGATTTCTCAACCACCACATTTTACTAGTATCTCTTTGAAAAGCCATAGAACATTTGTCATCTTCTCGTGCTGCACAGCAAATATAGTAGTTGATGATGCTGATTGCCATACCGATTGATCTAGGTTTGAATCATACCAGAGAAGGCATGGATGTTTGTAAGCCCATAGTATCTGCATGGCAAGGGGGCACTCAAAACAAACGGTGAGCCAAAAGTTCTCTTGAGAGTTTGGTGGTAAAGGAACAGGTGTGGAGCCCCAGGGTTCCTTGGCCCAACCCCAGGGTATTTTTTCTCAATACTGGGGCAGAACTACATAGTTAGTGTAGTGGGACTATATCTCTAAGATCAATGTTGAATTTCTGGTGTCCCACCCAATCCAACCTCTACCTGCCATGTTTACCTGAGCAGTTCCTCAGTCTAATAAACTGAGTATTCTAGTAATAGTACCTCTCACCTTTCATCATTTTTAGCATAATGCTGCACATTTTAAATAACGCAATAAGTCTTGTGTGAAGGTGCCCCTATATATACTGGATTTAGACCCAGAAGAATGAGCAAAATTTATGGCATTTGAAAAAAAATATTTGAACATATATATATTTTTTTAATTCATACGTGTGTATTCTTAAGCAACTTGTATTGGATTCATTTGTGCATATGATTGTGATACTTTGAGCCATAAAAATTCTGTGATGTTTGTTGTAATTCGCAAGTGTATAGGTTTGGCTACAGCGAAACAATATGATCCATTTCATTAACTTTGCCATTATAGAATGATAAAATTGTATTATTTTTATACGTTAGATAAGTGCTCAGTGATGATTACAAGATGTACACAAACATCGTTTGTTCTACATTGCTAATCTAAGTTATGATTAATAATAATAGATACAGTTACAGTTACATATATAACATCTCCCTTTTTAACAGAAATTATGATAATAATAAAATTATACATATTCTTTTAAATAATGAGGTTTTTTACCAGATCGAGTAATGTAGTTATGTCCATTTACAAAATTTCGTGTTACTATACCTCTTTCAGTTTTTGGTGGCAGAACACTTCTGTTAAGTTTTGAAGAACTTACAGGTACATCTAAATTCGAAGTCCTCCTGCTATTCTCAGGTATCTCGGGTTCATCTATAACTTCAATCTCAGGACTTTCATTTTCATAATTTTTTTAATATTACATTGTGTGGATTAGTTCCTTTAAGATTGTGTCTTCAGTTCCTTTCTACAGTTCTTCCATCTGTAGAAACTTTCTGCTTCTATAATTTTCCCGCTTTCATTTAGTTTTTTCCCTTTCTCTTTTATGTACACATGATCTCCTACCTTCAGTGGTCTTAATGGTCTTGCATTCCTATCATAATAGTTTTTTTGTAAAGTTTGTCTCTTCAGTAAATGCTTATGGTCTTCATATCGTCTAGTTTGGATGAAATTCTCTGTTTATAGGCATCTGTCCATTTACTTTTTTTCCAAACATCAATTCTGAAGGTGACTTAATTTCATCTGAAATAGGAGAGTTACAATATTCCAGTAATACTAAACATAATACTAATACTTGCTGTCAATTATGGCTTTTTCTAGCATTCACTTAACAGTTTAAATATGTCTTTCAACCATTCCATTAGATTGTGAGTAATTCAGACTTGAAGTTCTGGTTTCAAAATTCCATCTTCTTACAAATCCTTTAAATTTCTTGCAACTATATTGTGGACCATTATCCGAATATACTATTTTTGGAATACCATGTCTTGCAAAAATTTATTTCAATTGCTACACTTGACAAATCTTCCAAATGTCCAATTTCAACATATTTGCTAAAATAATCTATAAGTATTAGATAATCC